GAAAAACCAAAGGTGTGACAAAAGTCACAAATGCAGGTCGGGGGGTTGTTTTGTTTCTTAACTTTGAGGATTTTTTTTCCCCTCTGTAAAAAGGAAGGAGTAGAAATGTCCTAAAATCCATGAGAGTTAGTTTCTTCTGTCCTGTTCAGTGTATAATTCTGCTTTAGAAGTGCTGCAGACCTGTTAACGAAGCCTCTAAATTTCTGAATTTGAACGTGTACCCATGTGGCAGAGAGAACAAACCTTCCACTCCAAAGTGTAACTGAGGCATGCGGGAAACTGCAGGCACTCTGGTAAACAGGGGGTAAATTCTGCAATATAGAGAGAATTGCAGAGAAGGTTGTTTAAGTGCTCACTAGGAGTTCACTTTATTTATTTTTCTGTCCTTTAGCACTGCCTGTTAACTGTTGATGAATATCTTTGATACTGGAAATAGGAGACCACTTTGTGAGGAGTGTATCTGATTAAAGAAACGAATGAGAATGTCATACAACTGAAGTTAATGGTTCACGTTGCTGTTGAGCACAAAGACCTGCTTATTTGAGTTGCTTCTATTTTGGCTTAATATTATCCTAGAATATGTTCCTCAGATACTGCACAAGCAGTAATGTATTGCTTTTCTCTCTCCAGAGACTTTCTTCAGCTCGTGGGGTAGCTTTCCTAAACTAAGTGATGAGCCTCAAAACCCTCCTCCACTTCCTCCACGAAAAAAGATGGATCAGGATGCTTCTAATACTAAGGTATTTCTGTCCTATATTGAATAACTTGGATAATAAATCAGGGAACATCTAGCCAAGCAGGACTTTGTTAGTCTAAAAGACTTTCAAATGCAGTGCTCCAGTTGCCCTTTTGAAGTTTCAGGTTCCCGGTGTCCAAACTCTGCTGGCTACTTTAGGAACATAGCAGTCATATTTGGATCAAAGGTACGGCTATGCCAGCATCACGTTTCTGACAGCGCCAGCAGCAGACGTCAAGAGAATTCTGCATCTGTCAGAAGATTCTACATTTCTTAACAATGTCTTTTTCTCTGTAATGTTGTAGGGAAGTTTAAAATCGGATGACGATCCTCCAGCAATTCCACCTCGGCAGCCGCCGCCTCCAAAGATACAGCCTCGTGCTCCTGCTTACACTAACCCCTTTGACCAGCCGCTGCACAGTCCTCCTCCTCCACCCCCCCGGGACCCTCTTCCTGATACTCCACCGCCGGTACCGCTCCGGCCGCCCGAACACTTTATCAACTGCCCTCTAAACCTCCAGCCACCGCCGGTGGGACGCTTGCACAGAGATCCCGACTGGTTCAGGGAGGCGAGCACAGGCCCCAGCTCTCCCGGCACTCCTCCCAGCACGCCCTCTCCCAGAGTACTGCGCCGCTGCTGCGTGATCAGCGCCGGTCACAACAACCTGGTCCACCCGCCTGCGCCCCCGGTCCCGCCCCGGCACAATTCGAGCCCTCAGTTACCAAAACTGCCACCAAAGACTTACAAAAGGGAGCTCTCCCACCCTCCTTTGCACAGACTGTCTTTGCTAGAAAATGCGGAAACTCCTCAATGACCTTAGCCATAGTAGTCATTGACACTGGAATAGTATTTGTAAAGTTCCTTTTTTTATTTATTCAAAAAAGGCAGTGTATTCTAGTACTTTCGCAAATTGTGCTCTTAAAGTGCTGCTGATCAAAAAAAGAAAAGAAATTTAAATTGGAAAAATAAGACTACACACACTCTAGCCTGCGTCTGCTCGACAGCATTACCCTCAGGTGATCAGCAGCATTGCCTTGTTTCACATCCTCAGTGCCGACAGTTATGCCAGTATACAAAATATCTCTTTTGCACTGTAAACTACACTAAATGAATTTAAACTGACATCATTTAATTGCACTGAGCCAAAAAAGGGTGCGTCTGTGGAATTTTTTCAAATTTGAGCACTAGTGGCCTTTTTTTTTAATTAAAAAAAAGAACAGTGGGATGATTACACAACATGAGGATATACAGTGTTACCGATTTTAAACCTCTGGCCACTTGCCTTCTAGCTTCGTGTGAGCTTGGAGGTTCATGAGTGACAGCTACTGTTCTCACATATTTTAATGCCATGTCTTAATTGCCATTGATTTGCTGCTGAAGACAAAAAAGAAAAATGGGTTGAAATCTAAATACCAAAATACTCCGTTGGTCTTGATTATTTTGAGAAAGGATGGACAAGGACTACCTGTCTCGGATGTCGGAAAGGATCCCTAGTACTTAGCATGCATCTTGTTCAGATGTGCCTTTTTGTTTTGGTAGGCGAAGATGTCTTAAGCTAAAGAGTTGTCTACTGTTCTGGAGAACAAAGCTATATGCCATGTATGTACAATTGTTTATATTGTATATTTACAGATAATGCTAATAACCTGCATAAGTTTAAGTGACTTGAGGCCTATAATACAGTCTGCTACTCTTGCAATCTTACACGGTCAGAAGTGTTTCCTCTGGCTTAGGAACAGTCTTGCCTTCCAAACCTAATAACTTCCTTTAGATCTCACTTAACTTAATCGTGAATCCATTTTGGAAATTGGTAGCATTTAAACCAGCAAACACTTAAAGCTTTATTAAACTTTTTAAACTGATAAGTGAACGGAACTTTTATTTGCCAGTTGAACTACTGGTTTGAACTGGTGTGAGAGTGAGTCTGTTTTACTGGTAGTACTGTAGCAGCATTTATAAAGTGGCCAGAAGCCACATTTTATTTACTGGTCTGTGGCCTTTTATTGTGCTTTGTATCAGAGTTCTTAACAAGATTAATAAATCACCCCAGTCTTAATTTTTAAGAGCTTGAGCAGTGCGTGTTCCTTGTAAGGACAAGGTTGGGGATTGGATTTAGTAAGTCTTTGGCAATACAAAATGCACCAATTTTCCATACCGCTATTCTCGGCTTTGGTTGTCCTTCGGTCTGCAGTTGGGCCTGATACACGACAGCTCCCTGGGAGTTTAACCTTTCCTTCCACCTACTAACCCATCGGATGCCTCAGCCCCTCTCGATGGAGAAGCGGTTTCCATTTTTTCTGGCTCCTGTCTGGAGGAAGAGCACTGTGGTGGGATTTGCAGCGGCTCAGGCTTCCAAGTTGCGCTCTGGCTTTTCATCAGCCCGCCTATATTGCTCCCACCGTCTCCGGCGTTCCCTCTGGAAAAGGAGAGGAGATATGCCTGGGGAGGGGTGCTAATTTTCTTCTCCTGGGAAAATGTATCTTGCCATCTGCCTCTTGGATGTTCTTCTCCTACTGCCTGTCCCCTCGATGCTCCTTTCCTGAGGAAGAAGAGAGGGGTAGAATCTGTCTCGGAGGTGTCGCCCCGAGGGCCGTTCGCGCAAGGAGCAGAACTATAAAGGAGAGCTGCTTCATTTTGCAAAAATAACGTTCAAGAAGTCCCAGATCTGAGGTGCATGAACTGGGAGTGTAGGAAATGGACGATGCCTTGATTATGGTTTTTTTCCTCTGCAGAAAAAACACAGCTCATAACTCTTTTCTGTAAGTTTGGGAAGAACTCTTCTGTTGGTGTCTGGTGGTGAAATTCTGCTCAGTGAAGTACTCCCCTAATGCTCTCTGCATAGAAAAGGCAGGCTGTCAGGCTTCACCGTTCCAGCGATCTGCAGAATACGCTGAACAAGTGAAATTTTTTATTTAGTTCTTTGTATTAACTCTTTCGAAGTCCTCACCAGCAGCTGTTGCTAAAAGACGAGTAATATTTTTTCAGACTGTTGTGTGTTGTTGAAGGGGGAAAAAACTTCTCCCAAATTTTAGAATATATAAATGTGAGCTTTATAGCTTCCTGTACAAGTGCTTAGACCAGCTTCTGGTCTAAGTAAAATATATCATAGCTTTATATTTTGGTCCTGACTCAGGAAGGCCCTCACCAGATCACTTTAAGTTGAGCATGAACTGATTAGTAATGGCTTCCACATGTATCAAAGTACTTCCCTCCATCAAGACCTTTGTGAGGTTCTGGTTTGTGATGGACTTTGAGGAGAGTTTAGACTTGTGGAAGCAGGAGCGTACATTTATTAGAGTTAACCCTGAAATGATGCTGCGCAGGGGTGCCATTCTCAGAACAGCCCTTTTTAGGTGCCAACTTACCTTTTATGTTGACAGCCTACAAAAATACCTGGGGGGCTGTGAAACACTTTCTTCTTTTAAACCTGATTGCGAAACAGTTTGGGCAGTTCTAAATTTCACAGTTAAAGCCGAAGAAATCCGTAACTTTCAGTGGGAGCCAGAATGGTTTGATTAGGAAAAATAGTGATGCAGTTAAAGTCTCAAGCCTTGGTCATTGTTCTCCGTTAGATTAACATGGACAGTGGTAGGCATCCCTGCAAGAGCCTCTCGCTGCTATCTGGGAATGTCCTGGGCAGCAAAGGTGACTGTGGCTCCTGGTGGGCCCTCAGGACCTGTCCTCTGCTAGGGACCAACGGGACAGACATGAGCCTGCAAGTCCCTGTTGCTGTTTTGCCAGCAACAGGTCCTGTTAAGCAAGTCCCCAACCCCGCCGCCGTTCACCTCTTCTCCCCCGGTGCCCCTTCAACTGTCTGCGGTTGTGCTCTAAACTGCATATGGAAAAAGATCCCGCGTTTTTTTGCAGGTTGGGCTTGGAGCATCACACACAACTGATTAACAGCAGTGCTGGGACAGTAAAGCTCCAGGAGGATGAGGGGAGAGGAGAGCAGGAACCTCTTACATGAGCTCTCCCAACGGGGGCAATAATGTGAAAACATGAGATAATTTGCTTGTGCTAGAAGGCTGCAGCTAAACAACGTTCCCAGCCGCATCTCCCATGCGTGAAACATTACTCTTACCTTTACAGGGCCAGTTCTGGAGTTAACCTGAAGTACATAAATCACAGCATGATTCAGAAAAGGGGCCTTGCTTATGGATAACTTACCACACAATTACACTGTCCTCCAAGCATAACAGGAGCCGGAAAATACAAAACCAAAGAACCATTCCAAGGCAGGGCAGCAGCAGCGATGCCAGCAGCATGAAGTACGGCGGGTACAGCAACACATGTTCCCAAAGTAACTATTTGGCCGTGGAAGTGGTCGAAGGCAGTCAGATTCCCACCAGTGCGGTTCGAGGGAATGCCAAGATAGCAATAAATTAACGTTTCGGTTACTTCATAATTAGAGGGATAGATAAAAAGAGAAGAAAAAAAAACCTAGAGGGGAAAAATGTGAAATTGCTGGGTTTGAAGTTGGCTTGTGTGGGAAAAGGCAGTTCCCTCAGAAAAGTGCAGATAAACAGATGGGATGTGAAGGCAGTTAATAGCAAAAGAAGCATCTTTCTAGTTGTTTTCTGTGATCCTATTTTGAGTTACTGAGTTTTAGCATTTCCCTCTGCTCTGGAGCCGGAATAACTTCTTTGGGTGCTATGACTTCGCTACAGCAGATCAAAAACAAGAAGGGAAAAAAAAGAACCATCTTTTGTTTCTTTTTTTCCCAGATTTACCCCAATTTTCCAAAATACGCCACAGGTCTGAATATACCGTTCAGAATCCCTAGCAAATGTAGTAATTCCTCCCTGGGGAAGGGAGTGCGCGTTAGTAAGAAATGATAGGAAATAAAGCAACAAAAATTCTTCCACGTGTCCAAGGAAGAAATCAAAAGCCTTTGCACTTAAACATGTTGATGCACAAGTCAACTCGTATTCAGCTGCTTTTTTAAAACCTTTTTGCAAGTTTAAGTGTTGGATGAGGGTCTACAACACGCGTGATTTCTAGCAATCTGGTGGCTTTAAGTGGGACTGCGTGTCCACAGCGCTTACAGGCTGCACTGAGTAACGTGTGAAGACGACTTTGAATCGCCGCGTGTTAATTTTCAGCCAGTTCCCACGTGGAAAATTTTCTTCACGGCTGTCTCTCCTCTGGCTGGCGTTTAATGTCGCCTTTAGTCTGATGGGCTAAATCAGGCAGGTCTGACTTGGTGCCAGGCGAGCTCCTGCATGTGGCCTCCCAATGGAGGTTTCTCACCTCTGAGCCAAGTCTGACTTTGTGGCAAACGCGCACAAGGCCGCGGTACCCCGAGGAGCGATGGCTGCCGACGTTCTCTCCTGCCACAACCAGGCCAGTTAACGCCGCAGCTTT